AAAAATGATTTTTTTCTTGCTTACTATCGGACTTGAACCGATAACCCAAAAGGAACAGATTTTAAGTCTGTCGTGTTTACCAATTTCACCAAGTAAGCAAATAAGAAAGCGGATAATGGGAATCGAACCCATATAGTCTGTGTGGAAGACAGAAAATTTACCATTAATCTATATCCGCAAAAATCATAGATATTATAAGATGCCGCATGTCCGCTCTTTGGATAAAGAGAGAAAAGTCCGAACTTTTTACGCTTGATACAAGTTAACTACTTGCAAAAAAGATTTTTGGGAAAGTATTACAGAAATGCTCCATTGAAACTCTAAGAAGGTAACTTCTACGGATCAAACCCTATCAAAAGCAAAACTTCTACGTTGCTTGACATCTTATGCAAATAAGGATGCAGACAAATGGACATAACCCATCAAGAGATGGTTACAGAATTCGGCTTATAAGCATCTTATTTCACGATGTATTCTTAGCTCAGCTGGATAGAGCATCAGCCTTCTAAGCTGAATGTCACAGGTTCGACTCCTGTAGAATATGTCAGGGTGTAGCGCAGTCTGGAAGCGTACCTGTTTTGGGTACAGGTGGTCGCAGGTTCAAATCCTGCTACCCTGAATGTTATGTTATCTAACCAAAAACCGTTGTTTGTTTTATGCATTGTATTTCTTTTTTACATTGTTCTCTATTGCTTTTTTTACTGGGTGTTTGGGGTATCTTTTTCAATCGTAAAAATATTGTGGTTATGCTAATGTGTATTGAATTAATGCTCCTTGCTGTCAACCTGAACTTTCTTATTTTCTCCACATACTTAGATGACCTGAGTGGACAAATCTTTTCCCTCCTCATCTTAACCGTCGCCGCAGCAGAATCTTCCATTGGACTCGCTTTACTTGTAATGTATTACAGAACTCGTGGAACCATCTCCATTGAATATATGAACCTTTTAAAAGGATAATATATGCTTGGGAAAGGCAGGATTCGAACCTGCGATGAATTTAATCAGCAGATTTACAGTCTGTCGCCTTGAACCGCTCAGCCACTTTCCCCTAAACATACACAGAAAAAAATCTATTATTTATGCCTCAGTTAGATATGGTCACTTTCTTCCCTCAATTTTTCTGGTTTTGTGTCTTTTTTACAGGATTCTATCTGACTCTTGTACAAAAATATCTCCCTCAACTTACAAGAATTTTTGCCGTGAGAGAAGCCGCACAACAGACAACGCCAACGGATCTCACAACAGATGCGTGCGAAGCCCTGGCCCAGAAAACACATAAAGTGTTTTCAGATAGTGTACAAGAAACAAAAAAAAAATATACCCAGCAGTTTCAAACAACAACGCAACTTTTAGACATTCAAACAGATGCGTTTAATACACACACACACCAAGCATTTGAAAAATATCAAAGCAAAAAAATCATGTTGCAGCAAACAGTGCAATACACACTACAACACATGCACCACGTGTTACCTGGGACCCAAGGAAACATGCCAAAAGTGGATGCAACAAAAACAGCACACTTTTTTTCCCAGGCCTTGGTACAGAAGCTTTGTGTACCACACAACCAAAAAAAATAATTTAAATGATTTTACAAAATAAAACTTTGATTATCTCAGCCACACTGGCATTTTTTGTGTGTAGTTCAAAAAACATTATTATTTATAATGAAGAAATCTTAGTTGCTCTGAGTTTTTTATGTTTTGTTCTGTTTAGTTTTCACACATTTCAAGACACCGTGAAAGAAACTTTTGCGCAGAGAAGAACACTAATTCTTCAAGAATTAGAATACATGCTCGTGGCAAAAGAAACAGCCGTTCAAAAACTTCAACAAACATATCAACACAGTGTTCAATTGCTTGAAAGTATTGAGGCATTGAAAACAGCAGCTGTACAAGAACTTGAACGAGCTCAACACGCACGACTAACTGCTTTTGAAGCAAGTATTCAGAAAAAATGTGTACAAAAAGTGCAACAGATTCTTCAGGTAGAGAAACAATTGCAACATACACTGCATCAAAATATTCGAGACAATTTCACGCAAAGTGTTTTAAAGTATTTTCAAAAAAATCGAGAGACGTTAATCCCACAACTTTTTGATCAAGCTTGTACACAACTTAAAAAATAAATATATATCTTGCCGAATAGAGGCAAGATACCATATATATCTTGAGAAGATACAAAGAAATACATACCAACCGAACCCATCCTGAACTCGATATTTGACCGTTTTTCTTGCTGTAAATACTTTGGATACAAGGGACTCGCAGTGTTCTCAAGACCCTGTTGAAAACACAAAATATATATGATGCACTTTATCAATCGTTGGGTTTTCTCAACAAATCACAAAGATATCGGAACACTTTACCTTATCTTCGGCGCATTCTCTGGTGTCTTAGGATCATGCTTTTCCGTACTCATTCGTATGGAACTTGCACAACCTGGAAACCAAATTCTTGCAGGAAACCACCAACTCTATAACGTCCTCATCACTGCACACGCATTCCTTATGATTTTTTTCATGGTTATGCCAGCACTCATCGGAGGATATGGGAATTGGTTCGTACCTATTATGATTGGAGCTCCGGATATGGCATTCCCAAGATTAAATAATATTAGTTTTTGGTTATTACCACCTTCTCTTTTACTTCTTTTAAGTAGCGCTCTAGTTGAAGTTGGTGTAGGAACGGGATGGACTGTGTACCCACCTTTAAGTCACATTACAAGTCACTCAGGTGGAGCGGTAGACCTTGCCATTTTCAGTTTACATCTTTCAGGTGCATCCAGTATTCTTGGAGCCATTAATTTTATCACAACCATCTTTAACATGCGAGGTCCAGGATTAAGTATGCACAGACTCCCACTCTTTGTATGGTCAGTCTTAATTACAGCATTCTTACTTCTCTTATCCCTCCCTGTACTTGCAGGTGCTATTACAATGCTTTTAACAGATCGAAATTTTAATACATCTTTCTTTGATCCAGCTGGTGGGGGAGATCCCATTTTATATCAACATCTTTTTTGGTTCTTTGGACATCCGGAAGTTTATATTTTAATTTTACCTGGATTTGGAATTGTGAGTCACATCATTAGCACATTTTCAAGAAAACCTATTTTTGGATATCTTGGAATGGTTTATGCTATGTTAAGTATTGGTGTCTTAGGATTTATTGTTTGGGCACATCACATGTTCACCGTTGGATTAGATGTCGATACACGCGCCTATTTTACAGCTGCAACAATGATTATTGCGGTACCAACAGGTATTAAAATTTTCAGTTGGATTGCAACAGCATGGGGTGGGTCGATCTACCTCAGAACACCAATGTTATTTGCTGTTGGATTCATCTTCCTCTTTACAGTAGGTGGATTAACTGGTGTTATGCTCGCAAATGCTGGAATCGATATTGCACTCCACGATACTTACTATGTCGTTGCGCACTTCCATTATGTATTATCCATGGGAGCTGTCTTTGCTTTATTTGCTGGATTCTATTACTGGATCGGTAAAATTTCCGGGTACCAATATCCAGAAGTATACGGGCAAATTCATTTTTGGTTATTTTTTATTGGGGTCAACCTCACATTCTTCCCAATGCATTTTCTTGGATTAGCTGGTATGCCACGTCGTATCCCAGATTACCCAGATGCATTTGCTGGATGGAATGCTGTATGTAGTTATGGGTCATACCTATCTATTTTAGCGAGTCTCTTCTTTTTCTATGTGGTGTATCTTACACTGACAAGTAACGAGAGATGTGCACCAAATCCATGGAACTTTGATTCACAGGATCAATCTGTGTCAACATTAGAATGGACCGTGGCGTCACCACCAGCGTTTCACACATTTGAAGAAATTCCTGCCATTAAATCACCGCACCAACTTACAAAATAAACTTTGAAAAGGTTTTTTTATGGTATATATATATATGTAAAGGTTCATGAGAACCTTTACATATCTGCAAAAAATCGAGCACCTCATATATTTAACTTCTCAGACGACGAACGCTTGCAGAAATGTCTTAAATATATAATATATAAAGTAGAGATTAAATGAGAAAGTTCTTCTTCATCTTTTGTTTCAGGGAACAGAACATCCTATATATCCTGAGTGCATGTGTGGTCGTCCATTTCAGAGCCATTTTACCTCTTTATATCCTCAAAATGGTCTATGAAAGATATACAAGAGTTCTTTTAGTCTCAAGGACGTGTCGGAGGACCTCACCCCTCAAATGGTTTCAATGTATTTCATCAAGGGCTGTAACCTTGTCTGTTTGTACTATACTCACGGATAAAAACATCAACCTTACTTTACATTCTATAAAAATTGGACGAAAATCCGACGACAGAAAAAACTTTCCCTACTGTAGAGGAAATACGTTATTGTACACTCAATTTATTTTGATCGACTGTAAACCAAAAACAGTGCAACACCCATGCTGATACTAATGTACGTATAAATGCAGTACTACATATGTTTTATATGAGAAAATTTGTACACACTCACTAAAGAAGTTAATGTCTTGGAAACATAGACGATTCAGATCGTATAGGATCAAGGGTAGGGAACGTGTTTAGGGATGTGGAGAGAAACGGGAAGAGAACAGAATGATGAAATGAATATAATCAACCAAGTTGACAACGACCCCTCTACAGTAGGGAAAGTTTTTTTGTAATGTTAGGTTCTCTTTTGCTATATTCTGTATATAGGAAGAATTCGTTTCGTAAGGGCGGAAATATTACTTTTCTAGTTCTGTTTTATGGGTAACTCATAGAAAACTTATATTATTTCTTTTAATGATAATGTGCACGAGTTTTTTATGTATATTAAAGTGTCTCCTCTATCGTAAAAATGTTTTCTACTTTCTTGTGTTTTATCTTTTTGTCTGTGCTTTAGATTCTAGATTTTTTTTTTGTCTTTTTTTCAGAGAGTGAGCTAAGGCGTGAAATCAGCCGCCTGGGGACTACGACCGCAAGGTTAAAACCCAAAGGAATTGACGGGGGCTTACACAAGCGGTGGAGCATGTGGTTTAATTCGACACAACGCGCAAAACCTTACCAATTTTTGACATAGAAAAGAATGCATTCGGTCTGAGTGTGTTTTATTTTCTACAGGTGCTGCATGGCTGTCGTCAGTTCGTGGCGTGAGCTGTTGGGTTAAGTCCTAGAACGAACGCAACCCTCAGGTTCTTTGCTTTGAATCATTGAACTAACTGCCTTTGAGATAAAGGAGGAAGGGGAGGATGACGTCAAGTCCGCATGGCCCTTATGAATTGGGCTACACACGTGCTACAATGATGATGCCAAAGAGATGCAAGGTGGTCACACGGAGCCATTCTTGAACCATCATCCTAGTGCAGATTGGTCTCTGCAACTCGAGACCATGAAGTTGGAATCGCTAGTAATCGTAGATCAGCATGCTACGGTGAATTTGTATCTAAGCCTTGTACACACCGCCCGTCACACTATGAAAGTGAGCCGTACTCAAAAAAACTCTTCTGTACATAGTATAGGCCACACTAGTTATGAAAATATCCGTGCCCTTTCTTTGTGTAGAAATTTTAACAGTATTGTCTATGATTGTAGTGAAGTCGTAACAAGGTAGCTGTAGGGGAACCTGTAGCTGGATAGACTCCTTTTTTTTTGCGTATGTGTAAATACACATCATAATTTGTTTGAATAGATGAGTTTGATCCTGGCTCAGAATGAACGCTAGCGAAAAGCTTAACACATGCAAGTCGAATGTTTTATAAACATGGCGTACGGGTGAGTAACGCGTAAGAACCTACCAAAGAATTCACGGGAATCGTGAATATTTAAAAGATTTGTATATCGTTTTTTGATGGGCTTGCGTAAGATTAGATAGTTGGTGTGGTAAAGGCGCACCAAGTCGATGATCTTTAACTGGTCTTAGCGGATGGCCAGTCACACTGGGATTGAGAAACGGCCCAGACTCTTTTTGGAGGCAGCAGTGAGGAATCTTGGACAATGGGCGCAAGCCTGATCCAGCTATTTCGCGTGGGTGATGACGGTTATGTTGATTGTAAAGCCCTTTCATGAAGATGTATGGATGATGTCTTATCTTCAAGAAGAAGCTCCGGCAAATTCTGTGCCAGCAGCCGCGGTAAGACAGGAGGAGCAAGTGTTATTCAGAATTATTGGGCGTAAAGGGCATGTAGGTGGATGTTTGGCGTTGATTGTGCCATTCCAATTGTTAACATTGGGTTTGCAGTCAATACTCTTCATCTTGAGGTCAAAAGAGGACAATAGAATTTCTAGTGGAGAGGTTAAATTCTTAGAGATTAGAAGGAATATCAAAAGCGAAGGCAATTGTCTGGTTTGTACCTGACACTGAGGTGCGAAAGCGTGGGGAGCAAACAGGATTAGATACCCTGGTAGTCCACGCCGTAAACGATGCTGATTCCTCTTTGGATGACAAAAAAAAATATCTTCCCACACACAGGGAAGACTTAATGAGATAGTTCAGTTTGGTAGAACGTCGGACTCATACCTCGATGGTCGGGGGTTCAAACCCCCCTCTCATTAGAAAAGTTTTAAGTGGATGCTTAGGCTCAACACCACATATGGACGTGTATCAAGACGAAACGTCACTTGAAGAGAATTCTCAAAGACAAGTGAATTTCCACAGTGGGAAACCACACATTGTAAAAAACGAAGGGAACCGAAACATCTAAGTACCTTTAGGAAAAGAAATCAACCGAGATTCCGTAAGTATTGGCGAAAGAAAGCGGAACAGACATACAAACACATGGTGACTCAGAACAAAGTGGGATCTTTGACCAAAGATGGTGACAGTCCAGTATTTGTGGCCAGTGTTTTTTGAATAAGTAAAACACATCAAAGTGTTTGAATATGAGGAGGTCCACCTTCTTTGTCTAAATATAGTGTTGAGACCGATAGTGAACAAGTACCGTGAGGGAAAAGTGAAAAGAACCCTAGACAAGGGAGTGCAACAGATCCTGAAACTTGAAACGGACAAGCAGTCAAAGAACTTTAACAGTTTTTTGGCGTACCTTTTGTATAATGGGTCAGTGAGTAAATGAATGCAGCTTGCTTAAGCGGGGACGTGGAGGCGAAGCAAACGCGAGTAGTAAATATGCACCTGGTTGTATTCATTTGACCCGAAACTAAGTGATCTACCTATGAACAGGTTGAAGAAAGCGTAATTTCTTTTGGAGGACCGAACCGACGTCTGTCGCAATAGACGCGGATGATTTGTGGGTAGGGGTGAAAGGCCAATCAAACTTAGAGATAGCTGGTTCTTCGCGAAATTTATTGAGGTAAAGCGTTTGTTCAATGTCAAAAGGGGTAGAGCACTCACGAAGCTATGGGGGCCCAAAGCCTTACTGATCTTCTTGAAACTCCGAATACTTTCTGACATACAGACAAACAGACAGACTTAAAGTGCTAAGGTTTTAAGTCGAAAGGGAAACAGCCCAGAATGTTTGCTAAGGTCCTTAAACAATAAGTCAGTGGGAAAAGGCGTTTATATCCGAGGACAACTAGGAAATTGGCTTGGAAGCAGCCATTTTATAATGAAAGCGTAATAGCTCACTCGTCGAGGATACAAGCACTGAGAATGTATCGGGGCTCAACTTATTTACCGAAGCAACATAGAACAGGTAGCGAAGCGTTTTGTAAACCAATGAAGATGTTTTGTGAAAAATATTGGAGGATTCAAAAGTGATTATACTGACATGAGTAACGAAAAATCATGTGAAAATCATGATCGCCGTAAGTTCAAGGGTTTCTGCGATCTGGTGTTCAGCGCAGAGTGAATCGGCTTCTAAATTTGCTGTGAAAACGGACAAGTGATGAGGACATGCAAACTGACAAATACGCACATATACGTAACTCAAATTGGATAGAGAATGTGTCTGCCGTATTTCAGGAAAAGGTTTGCTTGATAAACGAACCGTACCCAAAACCGACACAGGTGAACAAGTCGAATAGACTCAGGCGTTGAGACAACCATGCTGAAGGAACTCGGCAAAATACTCCCGTAACTTCGGAAGAAGGGAGACCAACTATTGGTGACACAAAATTGAGGGTGACGACTTTTTATTAAAAAATTAGGACTCTGCAAAATGGGAACATGACGTATAGGGTCTGACGTCTGCCCGGTGCTAGAAGCTTAAGAGGGGACTTGAAAGAGTTGAATTGAAGGCCTAGTAAACGGCGGTTGTAACTATAACAATCATAAAGTAGCGAAATTCCTTGCCAGCTAATTCCTGGCCTGCATGAAAGACGTAACGATTGCCCTACTGTCTCCAGCATGGACTCAGTGAAATTGAATTTTCCGTGAAGATGCGGAAATCGTGCCCCAAGACGAGAAGACCCTATGCATCTTTACTGTACATTTACATTGAACAAAGACATCAAGTATGTAGTATAGGTGGGAGTTTCGACACTCTTGAAATACCACCTTCTGAATGTCTTCATTCTCATTTGCTTGCAAAGAAAGTGTATATGAGGCAGTTTGACTGGGGCGGTCGCCTCCTAAAAAGTAACGGAGGCGTGCGAAGGTAAACTCAATGAAAGTTGGAAACTTTCTGCAGAATATAATGGTATAAGTTTGCCTGACTGCGAGACACCACAAGTCGAGCAGAGACGAAAGTCGGCCATAGTGATCCAAAAGTACCGAGTGGAAGGGCTTTTGCTTAACGAATCAAAGATACGCTAGGGATAACAGGCTAATAATTCCCAAGAGTCCTTATCGACGGAATTGTTTGGCACCTCGATGTTGACTGATCATATCCTGGGGCTGAAGAAGGTCCCAAGGGTTCGGCTGTTCGCCGATAAAAATGGTACCTGAGTTGAGTTTAGAACGTCGTGAGACAGTTTGGATTCTACCTGGGGTGCGCGTAAGAATTGAGAAAACTACTTCTTTGTACGAGAGGACCGGAAGTATTTAACCTCTGGTGTACTGGTTGTTCAGCCATGAGCATCGCCAGGAAGCTACGTTAAGATAGGATAACCGTTGAAAGCATATCAAACGGGAAACTTTTTTCAAGACAAATTCTTTTTTTTCGTGAAAGACTATCACGTTGATAGGCGAAATGTGTACAATTTGTAAAAATTGAAGCTTTTTCGTACTAAATATTCCCTTACATGTACAATTATATTTCTCAAAACCGATTGTGCTACAAAAATACAATGATTATGAAAAGATTATCTTTTTTAAAACAACCGCTCCTCGCTGCAGTCAATGACCATTTAATTGATTATCCAACACCAGCAAACTTAAGTTATTGGTGGGGATTTGGCTCAACAGCAGGTATCTGTTTAATTCTTCAAATTTTAACAGGAATTTTTCTTGCGATGCATTATACGCCACACATTGATTTAGCTTTCTTAAGTGTTGAACACATCATGAGAGATGTTGAAGGTGGGTGGTTTTTACGTTACATGCATGCGAATGGTGCAAGTATGTTCTTTATCGTCGTATACCTCCATTTATTAAGAGGTCTTTATTATGGAAGTTACACTAGTCCAAGAGAACTTGTTTGGATCGTTGGGGTTATCATTCTTCTTCTTATGATTCTTACAGCCTTTATTGGATACGTTTTACCATGGGGACAAATGTCTTTCTGGGGGGCCACCGTTATTACAAGTCTTGCAAGTGCAATTCCTGTCGTTGGGACAGATATTACACATTGGTTGTGGGGTGGTTTTTCTGTAGATAATGCTACACTCAACAGATTTTTTAGTCTACATTATCTTTTACCGTTTATTATTGCGGGTGCGAGTCTTGTACATATTGTTGCTTTGCATCAATATGGTTCAAACAATCCGTTGGGCTGTAGTGCAACCGTTGACAAAATTCCTTTCTACCCGTATCTTTTATTAAAAGATCTCGTTGGTTGGGTTGTATTTGCTATTTTTTTCTCGGGATTTATTTTTTTTGCGCCAAACCTTTTAGGACATCCAGATAATTATATTCCAGCGAATCCAATGTCTACACCTGCGCATATTGTTCCAGAATGGTATTTCTTACCGGTTTATGCTATTTTAAGAAGTATTCCGAATAAACTTGGTGGTGTTCTTGCCATTGGTCTTGTATTTGTGTCTCTCCTCATTTTACCATTCATCCATACCTCACAAATTAGAAGTTCAAGTTTCCGTCCATTACATAGAAAGTTATTCTTTCTATTAGTTGCAGATTGTCTTCTATTAGGGTGGATTGGATGTCAACCAGTAGAAGATCCATACGTACTCATTGGGCAAATTGCTTCCATTTATTTCTTCCTATACTTCCTAGTCGCCATGCCACTCCTAGGAAAAGTAGAACAATTCCTACTACAAAAATAAAAAAAAACAACACACCACGGCTCCACATATACACAACAATGGAGCCACACACACAAAAGATGGGGTGTAGCCAAGTGGAAAGGCAGTCGCTTTTGATGCGACCATTCGGAGGTTCGAACCCTTCCACCCCAGATTTATTTTTTACAAAGAATGCTACAGAAAAAATATACAATGGCGACTGCATCTGTATCGAAGGGAATTGGATACTCTACATTAGAAACGGTTTTTGTACAGTTTGTGAATGCCACAATAGGAATATTTAATAATTGTGCTTCTCGAATAATAGATGCGTTTCCTGTTGTTTGTAATAAAACTAAAGCAGAGGGTCTGTGCTTAAATGCTGTTAATCCCTCAAGTTTTTTTTTTTGTTTCACATATTTCGGAAAAACTACCTTTTTTTTGTCTAAAAAAGACCCAAAATACTGTTCAGAATATTTAAACGAGTGAATCATAGATTGTGATCCTGTCCAATTTGTGAGTAACCCTGGGATCCAGTATTCGTTTGAATAAGGTTGATCTAGACTGACTGCAGTTTGTTTTGTTAAAAAAGATAGCTTTGGATTATTATTAATAAATAAAATTGTCTTGTTGTCTTGCTGTAATGCACGTAAAAAAATAAGAGCTTTCTTGAGCAGAAGTTTACTTTTTTCTGTGTCAACCAAAGCTAAATGATTACGGAACCCTTCAAGACACCCAAACAACTCTGGATGTACTTTATTTGAAACATATTGAACTTTTTCGAAAAAATTTTGTTGACGCATAAATTCTTTTTTTTTTGTGCATGTTTAGAAGTGGATTTGAACCACCGACACAAGGATTTTCAGTCCTTTGCTCTAACCAACTGAGCTATCTAAACATACGGGAAAAACGAGAAAATCTTATACCATGTATTTATTATTAGTTTTTCTACCATTTTTTGGTTTTTTGTTAGTTACCGTATTTGGACGCTTTTTCGGGTATAGGGGCGCACCATTACTCAGCACGTTTGCAGTCATGAGTTCTGCATGCCTCTCCTTTGTAGCGCTTTATGAAGTAGGGATTTGTGGAAGTCCTTGTTATGTCCAATTTCTCCCATGGTTCCAAACGGACATGTTTGTCGCTTCTTGGGGATTTCTTTTTGACAGTTTAACTGTTATTATGTGTGTCGTTGTCACCTTCGTCAGTAGTCTAGTACATATCTATTCCATTTCTTACATGGGGGAAGATCCACATTTACCAAGATTTATGTCGTATTTATCAGTTTTTACTTTTTTTATGTTGATGTTAGTCACATCTGATAACTTTCTCCAAATGTTTTTTGGGTGGGAGGGTGTCGGTGTCGCATCTTATTTATTAATTAATTTTTGGTATACACGACTTCAAGCCAATAAATCTGCAATCAAAGCAATGCTCGTCAACAGAGTCGGTGATTTTGGACTAGCTTTAGGAATTATGGGTATTTTCCACATTTTTAAAGCGGTTGATTTCGAAACTGTTTTTGCATGTGCTTCTGAGTTTGCTTGTCACCATTTCTTGTTTTTTCATATGGAAGTACATACACTAACCTGTATTAGTTTACTTTTGTTCATTGGTGCCATTGGGAAATCAGCCCAACTTGGATTACATACATGGTTACCAGATGCTATGGAAGGACCAACACCTGTTTCAGCATTAATTCATGCAGCTACAATGGTAACGGCTGGTGTTTTTCTTTTAGCAAGATGTTCACCTTTAGTGGAGTATTCTTCACAAGCGTTAGTTGTCATTACTCTTGTCGGTGCGTCTACAGCATTTTTTGCAGCAACCACTGGGGTAGTACAAAATGATTTGAAAAGAGTTATTGCGTATTCAACTTGTAGTCAATTAGGATATATGATGTTTGCTTGTGGTATTTCGCAATATGCTTTAGGTGTTTTTCATTTAATGAATCATGCTTTTTTTAAAGCTCTTCTTTTCTTGAGTGCTGGGTCCGTGATCCATGCTCTTGGAGATGAACAAGATATGCGAAAAATGGGTGGTTTGGTGCGTCTACTTCCATTTACGTACTCTATGATGATGTTGGGTTCGCTCGCACTCATTGGATTCCCGTATTTGACTGGATTTTACTCAAAAGATGTCATCTTAGAAGTGGCTTATGCAAAGTACACATTAAGTGGCAATTTTGCTTATTGGTTAGGTAGCGTGTCAGCATTATTCACATCCTATTACTCTTTTAGATTACTTTACTTAACCTTTTTAGCATCACCACAAATGCTGAAATCGTCCGTACAAAATGTCCACGATGCTCCATTTTTAATGGGTCTCTCGCTTTGCTGTTTAGCGCTGGGAAGTATCTTTGGAGGATTTATTGCAAAAGATATGATGATCGGTCTCGGCACAAACTTTTGGGGAAATGCTGTATTTACTCTTCCAACTAATACGTTAGTTCTTGAATCCGAATATATTCCACAAGCAGTGAAATTTGTTCCAATCATTTTTAGTATCCTAGGGGCAGTGTTTGCTGTGAATTTAAACGGGTTTGGTAGTTCTTTCTCATATTCTCTTAAAACGAGTGTTCTTGGAAAACAACTATATACTTTCCTCAATAAACGTTGGCTTTTTGATAAAGTTTATAATGACTTTGTCGCGCGACCAAGTTTACATTTTGGATATACTATTTCGTTTAAACTTGTAGACAAGGGGTTTTTGGAAATGTTCGGACCAACTGGAATTATGCAACAATCTGCCTTTATGCGACATTTTGTGAAAACCGTTCAAACTGGGTCAATCTACCACTACGCTTTCATGATGTTTGTGAGTTTAACTAGTATTCTTGCTTTTTTCTTGGTTGCAACCACAAGTGTTGGTGCCTTTTTAGATACAAGAATTATTGTATTATTATTCTTAAGTTTTTTCTGGTTATCTGACAAGTAAATAATTTTGCATGGGTACCCATGCAAAATTATTCAAAAACCCCACAAAGTTTTATGTTTATTCAAAATATTCTTTTTGTACTTCTGTGTCTGCCTGTCTTAGGGGCTGTTGGGCTTCTGTTCTTTCCGAAGACAGCTGTTCGACAGATGAAATTGTTTGCTTTAAACATTTCGTTGGTCACCTTTGTCTGTTCGTTAAACCTTTGGATTTTCTTTGATAATTCAACGGCAAAGTTTCAATTTGTACAACATATGGACTGGTTGTCTGTATTGAACATGAACTTTTATGTAGGTATTGATGGTATTTCACTTTTTTTCATGATTCTGACAACATTCTTAGTGCCTGTGTGTCTTCTTATTAGTTGGCAGTCTGTAAAACATCTTGTCCGAGAATTTCTTGTAGCGTTCTTACTTTTAGAAAGTTTCATGCTTGCTGTCTTTTGTATGCTTGATTTATTACTGTTTTATGTTTTTTTTGAAAGTGTACTTATTCCAATGTTTTTAATTATTGGAGTTTGGGGCTCGCGTGAAAGAAAAATTCGAGCAGCATACCAATTCTTTTTGTATACTCTTATCGGATCCCTTTTTATGCTTTTAGCTATCTTACTTATTTATTTTCAAGTAGGAACGACAGATTTACAAGTATTACATACAGTCGAATTTAGTGAACGTCGACAACTGTTCCTTTGGGTCGCTTTTTTTCTCTCGTTTGCAGTAAAAGTCCCAATGATTCCTTTTCATATTTGGTTACCTGAAGCACACGTGGAAGCACCAACATCGGGATCTGTGATTCTTGCTGGAATTCTTTTAAAACTTGGGACCTATGGATTTTTAAGGTTTTCTATTCCTTTATTTCCGGAAGCAACCATTTACTTTACGCCCCTTATTTATACTATGAGTGTCATTGGGATTATCTATGCTTCGTTTACGACCCTCCGTCAAATTGATTTAAAGAAAATTATTGCGTATTCGTCGGTTGCGCATATGGGTTTTGTAACATTGGGTCTGTTTAGTCTCAACATGCAAGGCGTGGAAGGTGCTGTTCTTCTCATGCTTAGTCATGGATTTGTGGCATCAGCTCTTTTTCTTTGTATTGGAATTCTTTATGACCGAACACATACACGACTCATTAAATATTACGGGGGACTCGTGCAGACAATGCCTTTGTTTGCATTCTTCTTTTTCATTTTTACATTAGGGAATTTAAGTTTACCCGGAACAAGTAGTTTTGTTGGTGAATTCTTAATTTTAGTTGGCGTATTCCAAACAAATACTTTCATTGCAACGCTTGCAGCGACTGGGATGATTCTTGGAGGTGCTTACTCTATTTGGCTCTATAATCGAGTTGTTTTTGGGAACTTGAAACCAGTGTATATCAACCAATTTGCTGATATCAATCGACGTGAATTTTTTATTTTACTGCCTTTTGTTGTCTGTATCTTCTGGATGGGTATTTATCCTTCAATTTTTCTTGAATCTTTGCATTATTCAGTCGCGACAGTTCTCCAAAGTATTCGAATTTAATGACTGGGGTGTCAGTTTAGACTGGCACCTGTCACAATTACAAAATAATTTACGCATGTATGCACTTTTTTCAAAATGATTTTTATTTTGTTCTTCCAGAACTTTTTCTTTTCGGCGCTTCATTAAGTTTGCTCATGTTTGGAGTTATCTATTCAACATCGGTAAGTCATGGAAAGCCTGGATTAATGAAAGTGATGAGTTGGGCAAGTATCGTCTGTCTAGCGATGACTCTGGGTCTTGTGTTGAATACGCCTGTGCACTCAACAGTGGTCTTCTCTCAAAGTTTACTTTTAGATGATCTTAGTACTTTTTTTAAATTTTTAATTTTGGGTGGAAGTATCTTGTCCATTTTGATGTCTGTACAATATTTTGAGACGGAGAATATGAGAAATTTCGAGTATTTAGTGTTGGTGTGCCTATCCACTTTAAGTATGCTTCTTTTAGTTGCGTCCTATGACTTAATTTCAATGTATTTAGCGCTTGAGATGCAAAGTCTTTGTTTCTACGTCTTGGCTGCCTCACAAAGAGACTCAGAATTTTCAACAGAAGCCGGATTAAAATATTTTCTTTTAGGGGCTTTTTCTTCTGGTGTTTTTCTCCTCGGATGCTCTTTTTTATATGGGCTCACTGGACTTACAAATTTTGAGGCCTATGCACTTTTTTTCGCCCAACAATCAAATATTTACCAGACAAGTGACTGGATCTTTGTCCAAATTGCTTTTTTGTTTATTTTATTAGGGTTTCTTTTCAAACTAAGTGCTGCCCCGTTCCATTTTTGGGCACCCGATGTGTATGAAGGTGCACCCACCTCAGTGACAGCATTCTTCTCTATTGTACCAAAAGTGTCAATCTTTGGTGTGTTCATTAAATTGTTCTTCTGTAGCTTTTACGAACTCGCTCTTCTATGGCAACCAGTTATCATTGCAAGTGGTATGCTCTCGTTACTTGTCGGTGCCTTTGGTGCCTTTGCACAGAAGAAAATCAAGCGACTCCTCGTGTATAGTTCAATTGGGCATTTAGGATATATGTTATTAGCCTTAAGTTGCTTGACAATTGAAGGATTGCAATCTATGCTTGCATATTTGATTTTTTATATTGTCATGACAGTGCACGTATTTGCGTGTGTTCTGGCATTGAAAGACCTGAAAACTGGACAGCGTATTCGTTATGTAGAGGATTTAAAGTATTTAGCACAAAGCCAACCTCTGGTTGCATGTGCATTTGTTCTTAATTTTTTCTCTATGGCTGGAATTCCTCCTTTAGCGGGGTTTTGTGCAAAATTTTATGTGTTTTTTGCAGCGTTGGGGGCTTCTTTATACTTCTTTGTTGCAGTTGCTCTTTTCAGTAGTATTGTCAGCTGTTTTTATTATTTGAGATTTATCAAATTTATGTACTTTCATAAAGAGACTTCTGTGTCGGTGGAGTACGTCCAAATGGACCAACAAAAAGCGTGGATGATTTCGATTACATCGTATCTTTTAGTGTATTTATTCTTTTGTCCGACAAATGTTTTTTTATGGTCCGAAAAAGTCGCATTACTTTTTCTCAATTAATGAAGGATAAGGACAGATATCTGTCCTTATCTTACGCATTTAAAGACCACCCCACCAATAGATAGCTACAAATAAAAATAACCAGACAACATCAACAAAATGCCAATACCAAGCGGCAGCTTCAAATCCAAAATGTTGGTGTGTCGAGAACTGATTTGCAACTAATCTGAGTAAACAAATGGCTAGAAAAACGGTTCCAATAAATACATGAAACCCGTGAAATCCTGTCGCCATAAAAAAGGTTGACCCATAAATACCATCTGTAATAGTAAAAGGTGCTTCGACATATTCCACAACTTGGAACCCTGTAAATACGGCTGCAAGGATAACTGTGAAAATTAAACTCATGATTCCTTGCGTCTTCTGACCAGCTAAGATTGCATGGTGCGCCCATGTTACTGTTGCCCCGGAAGTTAGAAGAATCAACGTGTTTAAAAATGGAATTTCCCAAGGGTTTAAAACATCGATCCCTTTTGGTGGCCAAACAGCCCCAATTTCGACTGTTGGTGCTAAACTTGAGTGAAAAAATGCCCAGAAAAATGCAAGAAAAAACATAATTTCTGAAACAATAAAGAGAATCATACCAGATTTAAGTCCAGCTTGAACGGTTGTCGTATGGTGCCCTTGATAAGTCGCTTCACGAATGATATCTCTCCACCAAACAAACATGGTATAAAGAATTAATAAAAATCCTGAAGCGGCTAAAGAATCACCACCAATGTACCCATGCATGTACATCACGCCACCGAAAGTAGTCACAAGAGCTGCAAACGATGCAAGAAATGGCCATGGACTTGGGTCTACTAAATGAAAAGGGTGCTTTTGTTGATTCATAAGAATTTCTTTTTTTTAATGTGCTTTGAAGAGTCCGTTAAATATCTTCTAATTTATTTGAAACCCAGTGTAAGTAATCATCTAATTGTACCCCTTCCACAACAATTGGCATAAATCCATGATTTGCTCCACAAATTTCACTACATTGCCCGTAAAAAACGCCTTCACGTTTTAAAAAAACAGATGTTTGATTTAAACGACCCGGCACGGCATCACATTTTACACCAAGTGCAGGGACTGCCCAACTATGAAGCACATCAGCTGCTGTAATAATGATACGGATATGGGTGTGTACTGGTAAAACGACACGGTTGTCTACTTCAAGTAAACGAAGTTGACCTAATTCTAAATCATCTTCAGGAATCATATAACTATCAAAAACAATTGAACCGTCATCTGACAAACTGTAGTCAGAATATTCATATGTCCAATACCATTGATGCCCAATAACTTTTAAAGTTAACGAAGGGTCAACGATTTCATCCATGGAATATAAAAGAGCAAATGAAGGGACTGCAATAATCATTAAAATGAAACTTGGGGTGATCGTCCACACAATTTCTAAAAAAGTGCCATGAATAATTTTACTTGGAACAGGGTTTTTTGTCCAGTGAAAATGCCATAATGTTCGTAAAAGCATCCACACGACAAAAACTAAAACAACAATCATGAAAAAACAAATATCGTTGTGTAAATCTTGAATACCTTGGGCAATTGGCGATGCGGGGTCTTGAAAACCAAACTGCCAAGCTTGTGGCGCATCACACAAAGCCACAGAAAAAAAAAACAGAGGGTTTGAGAGGAAAAACATAGTAATTTCTTTTTTTCAAACGAAAGCTCCCTAGGTTGGACTCGAACCAACGACCCAATGGTTAACAGCCATTTGCTCTACCGCTGAGCTACTAGAGAAAATACAGGAGAGACCAAGCCCTCCCAAAACTTTTTATTTTAATGTACGAATCTTATGTACAGTTTTTGCGAAATCTCTCGCATTCTGTTCAAATACTTGTTGACGTCTGACTGCACGATGCGGGTTTAAAGTCAACATAATCGCACCAATCATTGCGATTAAAAGAATGAGGCTCGCCACTAAAAAAAAATAAAAATAATATGTATATAATACTTGTCCTAATGCTTCGACAGGTGTCTTAGAATCCACATAGGTTGGCCAAATGACATACTCCAAATTTTGATGCGCTTGGTGCTCAAGACCACGTAATTGCTCAAAAAAATGTGTAGAATAAGCGCGGAACTTTTGTGCAAAGTGTGGTGCCGAAAAACCATAAAGAACGAAAGCCCAGAAGGCATATACATAAAATTGTAAAGTGAGCATTGATGTACTTCCTGTCGAGAGCGTTTCAAGGTGAAGTGGGACAAATTCTTTATTGAATAAAAAGTAGAATTCAATAAAAAAAATGAGTCCAATGAAGCCACCAATCGGTAAATAGAAGAAAATGCTTTCTTGCATTTCAGCAAGTTTAATATCCAGCATCATAACAACGAATAAGAATAAAACTGCAATGGCGCCAACGTACACAATTAAGAAGATCAATGCAAAGAAATCTAAATTGAGTAAAAGGAGTAATCCAGCTGTATTACAAAAGACAAGGATCAAAAAAAGAACTGAATACACCGGGTTCTTTGATCGGATCACCATAAATGCTGAAAAAAGCACAAAAAAAGAAAAAAAGAAAAATAAAAACGTATCTCCCATATATAACTTTTTTCTGTCTCGGCAGACATTCAAAAATTTCAAGTCTTTTGAAGCTGTGCTGCCCTAAAAAATCTATGCATATGTATTTTTCTCCACTTGAGCAATTTACAATTATCTCTCTGATCCCCTTCCATTTAGGAAATTTTTATTTTTCATTTACAAACTCAGCCTTGTTTTTCTTATTATCAACCGGCGCGTTTCTTTTTCTTTGTTCGCTTGTCTTCGTAAAAGGAGGAACTTTAGTACCAACACCATGGCAATCAGTCGTTGAAATGATTTATGAGTTTGTTGTGAGTTTAGTTTCTGAACAAATTGGAAAAAAAGGTGTGAAATACTTCCCTTTCGTGTTCACTCTATTTACTTTTCTACTCTTAAGTAACTTAATTGGGATGATTCCATATAGTTTTACGACAACAAGTCACTTCGTGATTACTTTTACACTGTCATTTTGTGTATTTATTGCAATGACTTTAATCGGGTTTCAAACGCACGGACTCCACTTTTTCAGTTTTTTACTCCCACCAGGAGCACCTTTAGCATTAGCTCCAGGATTAGTTGTTATTGAACTTGTTTCTTACTGTTTCCGTGGTATTAGTCTTGGGGTACGACTTTTTGCAAATATGATGGCTGGGCATACTTTAGTTAAAATTCTCAGTGGTTTTGCTTGGAGTATGCTTTCATTAAGCGGTGTATTAAAAGCAGCAGCGGCCATCCCATTTTTAGTTGTTTTTGCTCTTATGTTCTTGGAGGTGGGGGTTGCTTGTCTTCAAGCCTACGTGTTTACTATTTTAACATGTATTTACTTAAATGATGCGATTCATCTGCATTAATTTCTTTTGGTGGGGTGTTTATCATTCCACCAAAATACAAAGCGAAAGTAGCTCAATGGTAGAGTGTAGCCTTGCCAAGGCTAAAGCTGAGGGTTCGATTCCCTTTTTTCGCTTGGGCTTAAGTAGACTTGAACTACTGACTTTACGCTTATCAGGCGTATACTCTAACCAACTGAGTTATAAGCCCGTGGGGTCGTGCCTGGAAAGATTTGAACTCTCAACTTTCAGATTCGTAGTCTGACACTCTATCCAATTGAGTTACAGGCACTTCCAGGAGAAAAGGGATTCGAACCCTTAACCTATGGTTTTGGAGACCACTGTTCTACCATTGGAACTATTCTCCTTCGACTCTCTGAGGTCCCTTTCGTCTAACGGTGAGGACATCGCTTTTTCATGGCGAAAACACGGGTTCGATTCCCGTAAGGGATACATAAAAAATGCAACGCGTATGGTTTTATTTCTTCTCACAACGTTACTCAAAATTTTAACACTCGCAGTCCCTCTCTTAGTTGCTGTCGCGTATCTCACACTTGCCGAAAGAAAAGTCATGGGATCTATGCAAAGAAGAAAAGGACCCAATGTTGTTGGTTTCTTCGGAATCTTACAACCATTAGCGGATGGTTTAAAACTGCTCGTCAAAGAACCGGTCTTGCCTAGTAGTTCCAATATTTTACTTTTTTTAGGCGCACCTTTTATGACATTTTTATTAGCCCTCATTTCTTGGGCTGTTATTCCCTTCGACGAAGGAGTTGTTCTCTCAGATTTAAATCTTGGCATTCCCTACATCTTTGCAATCTCTTCTCTTGGTGTTTATGGAGTTATCATTGCTGGATGGTCAAGTAACTCGAAATATGCTTTTCTTGGAGCTCTTCGATCAACCGCACAAATGGTATCTTATGAAGTGTCATTAGGACTTGTTCTTATTACTGTTTTATTATGCGTGGGATCTCTCAATTTATCAACGATTGTTCTGGCACAAAAACATGTATGGTTTGGACTGCCTCTCTTTCCTTTACTTGTATTATTCTTTATCTCATGTTTAGCTGAAACAAATCGTGCACCTTTTGACTTACCTGAAGCTGAAGCAGAACTTGTAGCCGGATATAACGTAGAATATTCATCAATGGGATTTGCTTTATTCTTTTTAGGAGAATATGCAAACATGATTTTTATGAGTGTACTCTGCGCTTTACTCTTTCTGGGTGGTTGGTTACCTCCGATGAATATTTTTTTATTTTCTTGGGTTCCAGGACCGGTCTGGCTTGGTCTGAAAACGATTATTTTTCTTTTTTTATATATTTGGACACGTGCAGCCTTTCCAAGGTACCGTTATGATCAGTTAATGAAACTAGGTTGGAAAGTATTCCTTCCTTTATCACTCGCATGGGTTATTTTTGTGGCTGGAACGTTGGTCGCTTTTGATTTGTTACCGTAATGTATCAACATATGTTTATAGGCCTGAAAAGCCTATAAACAAAATGTGTTACCACCAACGTTGGTAGGCTAGGGCTTTATTTGTTTCTGCTAATTTATGCATTTCGAGCTTTTTATTTCTAAGGTCACTCTCATTTTTAAAAGCGAGAAGAATTTCTTGGGCTAAAAAGTACTCAAATCCATATTGTTTGTTTTTGACAATTTTTGTTTTTCTCTGTTTTTCTTTGGCAAGAGCTAAAATCCAACGAATAGCTAAGTTTTCTTGTTTTTCAGGTTTTTTTGCCCCTGGAATAAATTGACTCATTCCACCAACTCGAGCTTTTTTAAATTCAAAACTAGGTTGGATGTTTTGGATGGCTTGCACAAAAATTTGATCTTTCGGGATTGTTGGGTACATCTGTTGGACTAAAAAAATAACTGCAAAAAGAAGACGTTGTGCTTTTTTTTTATTCCCTTTCTTTAACATATTTTGGAGCAATTTCTTAAAAATACTTGAACTATTTAACTCAGGAGTAAATAAGATGTCTTGGGAAAAAAGTTTAACCATGGATACTTTATTTTTTTGTACCGTATTTAGAACGGGCTTGTTTTCTATTCTTCACACCTTGAAGATCAAAAATGCCTCGAATAACTTTATACTTAACACCAGGTAAATCTTTAACTCTACCACCTCGAACAAGAACCACGGAGTGCTCTTGCAAAGTATGCCCTTCACCGGGAATATACGCAATGATTTCGTTTTGGTTCGTGAGCTTAATTTTGGCTACTTTACGCACAGCTGAGTTCGGCTTTTTAGGAGATTTTGTATACACGCGAACACATACGCCCTTTTTTTGAGGACATTTTTCTAAAGCAGGTGTTTTAATTCGTTTTGTTTTCATCACTCTTTGTTGTGTCAATAATTGATTTGTTGTCGGCATACTAAATGTCTTTTCTTTTGTGTGTGTGGCTCCATTGTTGTGTATATGTGGAGCCGTGGTGTGTTGTTTTTTTTTATTTTTGTAGTAGGAATTGTTCTACTTTTCCTAGGAGTGGCATGGCGACTAGGAAGTATAGGAAGAAATAAATGGAAGCAATTTGCCCAATGAGTACGTATGGATCTTCTACTGGTTGACATCCAATCCACCCTAATAGAAGACAATCTGCAACTAATAGAAAGAATAACTTTCTATGTAATGGACGGAAACTTGAACTTCTAATTTGTGAGGTATGGATGAATGGTAAAATGAGGAGAGACACAAATACAAGACCAATGGCAAGAACACCACCAAGTTTATTCGGAATACTTCTTAAAATAGCATAAACCGGTAAGAAATACCATTCTGGAACAATATGCGCAGGTGTAGACATTGGATTCGCTGGAATATAATTATCTGGATGTCCTAAAAGGTTTGGCGCAAAAAAAATAAATCCCGAGAAAAAAATAGCAAATACAACCCAACCAACGAGATCTTTTAATAAAAGATACGGGTAGAAAGGAATTTTGTCAACGGTTGCACTACAGCCCAACGGATTGTTTGAACCATATTGATGCAAAGCAACAATATGTACAAGACTCGCACCCGCAATAATAAACGGTAAAAGATAATGTAGACTAAAAAATCTGTTGAGTGTAGCATTATCTACAGAAAAACCACCCCACAACCAATGTGTAATATCTGTCCCAACGACAGGAATTGCACTTGCAAGACTTGTAATAACGGTGGCCCCCCAGAAAGACATTTGTCCCCATGGTAAAACGTATCCAATAAAGGCTGTAAGAATCATAAGAAGAAGAATGATAACCCCAACGATCCAAACAAGTTCTCTTGGACTAGTGTAACTTCCATAATAAAGACCTCTTAATAAATGGAGGTATACGACGATAAAGAACATACTTGCACCATTCGCATGCATGTAACGTAAAAACCACCCACCTTCAACATCTCTCATGATGTGTTCAACACTTAAGAAAGCTAAATCAATGTGTGGCGTATAATGCATCGCAAGAAAAATTCCTGTTAAAATTTGAAGAATTAAACAGATACCTGCTGTTGAGCCAAATCCCCACCAATAACTTAAGTTTGCTGGTGTTGGATAATCAATTAAATGGTCATTGACTGCAGCGAGGAGCGGTTGTTTTAAAAAAGATAATCTTTTCATAATCATTGTATTTTTGTAGCACAATCGGTTTTGAGAAATATAATTGTACATGTAAGGGAATATTTAGTACGAAAAAGCTTCAATTTTTACAAATTGTACACATTTCGCCTATCAACGTGATAGTCTTTCACGAAAAAAAAGAATTTGTCTTGAAAAAAGTTTCCCGTTTGATATGCTTTCAACGGTTATCCTATCTTAACGTAGCTTCCTGGCGATGCTCATGGCTGAACAACCAGTACACCAGAGGTTAAATACTTCCGGTCCTCTCGTACAAAGAAGTAGTTTTCTCAATTCTTACGCGCACCCCAGGTAGAATCCAAACTGTCTCACGACGTTCTAAACTCAACTCAGGTACCATTTTTATCGGCGAACAGCCGAACCCTTGGGACCTTCTTCAGCCCCAGGATATGATCAGTCAACATCGAGGTGCCAAACAATTCCGTCGATAAGGACTCTTGGGAATTATTAGCCTGTTATCCCTAGCGTATCTTTGATTCGTTAAGCAAAAGCCCTTCCACTCGGTACTTTTGGATCACTATGGCCGACTTTCGTCTCTGCTCGACTTGTGGTGTCTCGCAGTCAGGCAAACTTATACCATTATATTCTGCAGAAAGTTTCCAACTTTCATTGAGTTTACCTTCGCACGCCTCCGTTACTTTTTAGGAGGCGACCGCCCCAGTCAAACTGCCTCATATACACTTTCTTTGCAAGCAAATGAGAATGAAGACATTCAGAAGGTGGTATTTCAAGAGTGTCGAAACTCCCACCTATACTACATACTTGATGTCTTTGTTCAATGTAAATGTACAGTAAAGATGCATAGGGTCTTCTCGTCTTGGGGCACGATTTCCGCATCTTCACGGAAAATTCAATTTCACTGAGTCCATGCTGGAGACAGTAGGGCAATCGTTACGTCTTTCATGCAGGCCAGGAATTAGCTGGCAAGGAATTTCGCTACTTTATGATTGTTATAGTTACAACCGCCGTTTACTAGGCCTTCAATTCAACTCTTTCAAGTCCCCTCTTAAGCTTCTAGCACCGGGCAGACGTCAGACCCTATACGTCATGTTCCCATTTTGCAGAGTCCTAATTTTTTAATAAAAAGTCGTCACCCTCAATTTTGTGTCACCAATAGTTGGTCTCCCTTCTTCCGAAGTTACGGGAGTATTTTGCCGAGTTCCTTCAGCATGGTTGTCTCAACGCCTGAGTCTATTCGACTTGTTCACCTGTGTCGGTTTTGGGTACGGTTCGTTTATCAAGCAAACCTTTTCCTGAAATACGGCAGACACATTCTCTATCCAATTTGAGTTACGTATATGTGCGTATTTGTCAGTTTGCATGTCCTCATCACTTGTCCGTTTTCACAGCAAATTTAGAAGCCGATTCACTCTGCGCTGAACACCAGATCGCAGAAACCCTTGAACTTACGGCGATCATGATTTTCACATGATTTTTCGTTACTCATGTCAGTATAATCACTTTTGAATCCTCCAATATTTTTCACAAAACATCTTCATTGGTTTACAAAACGCTTCGCTACCTGTTCTATGTTGCTTCGGTAAATAAGTTGAGCCCCGATACATTCTCAGTGCTTGTATCCTCGACGAGTGAGCTATTACGCTTTCATTATAAAATGGCTGCTTCCAAGCCAATTTCCTAGTTGTCCTCGGATATAAACGCCTTTTCCCACTGACTTATTGTTTAAGGACCTTAGCAAACATTCTGGGCTGTTTCCCTTTCGACTTAAAACCTTAGCACTTTAAGTCTGTCTGTTTGTCTGTATGTCAGAAAGTATTCGGAGTTTCAAGAAGATCAGTAAGGCTTTGGGCCCCCATAGCTTCGTGAGTGCTCTACCCCTTTTGACATTGAACAAACGCTTTACCTCAATAAATTTCGCGAAGAACCAGCTATCTCTAAGTTTGATTGGCCTTTCACCCCTACCCACAAATCATCCGCGTCTATTGCGACAGACGTCGGTTCGGTCCTCCAAAAGAAATTACGCTTTCTTCAACCTGTTCATAGGTAGATCACTTAGTTTCGGGTCAAATGAATACAACCAGGTGCATATTTACTACTCGCGTTTGCTTCGCCTCCACGTCCCCGCTTAAGCAAGCTGCATTCATTTACTCACTGACCCATTATACAAAAGGTACGCCAAAAAACTGTTAAAGTTCTTTGACTGCTTGTCCGTTTCAAGTTTCAGGATCTGTTGCACTCCCTTGTCTAGGGTTCTTTTCACTTTTCCCTCACGGTACTTGTTCACTATCGGTCTCAACACTATATTTAGACAAAGAAGGTGGACCTCCTCATATTCAAACACTTTGATGTGTTTTACTTATTCAAAAAACACTGGCCACAAATACTGGACTGTCACCATCTTTGGTCAAAGATCCCACTTTGTTCTGAGTCACCATGTGTTTGTATGTCTGTTCCGCTTTCTTTCGCCAATACTTACGGAATCTCGGTTGATTTCTTTTCCTAAAGGTACTTAGATGTTTCGGTTCCCTTCGTTTTTTACAATGTGTGGTTTCCCACTGTGGAAATTCACTTGTCTTTGAGAATTCTCTTCAAGTGACGTTTCGTCTTGATACACGTCCATATGTGGTGTTGAGCCTAAGCATCCACTTAAAACTTTTCTAATGAGAGGGGGGTTTGAACCCCCGACCATCGAGGTATGAGTCCGACGTTCTACCAAACTGAACTATCTCATTAAGTCTTCCCTGTGTGTGGGAAGATATTTTTTTTTGTCATCCAAAGAGGAATCAGCATCGTTTACGGCGTGGACTACCAGGGTATCTAATCCTGTTTGCTCCCCACGCTTTCGCACCTCAGTGTCAGGTACAAACCAGACAATTGCCTTCGCTTTTGATATTCCTTCTAATCTCTAAGAATTTAACCTCTCCACTAGAAATTCTATTGTCCTCTTTTGACCTCAAGATGAAGAGTATTGACTGCAAACCCAATGTTAACAATTGGAATGGCACAATCAACGCCAAACATCCACCTACATGCCCTTTACGCCCAATAATTCTGAATAACACTTGCTCCTCCTGTCTTACCGCGGCTGCTGGCACAGAATTTGCCGGAGCTTCTTCTTGAAGATAAGACATCATCCATACATCTTCATGAAAGGGCTTTACAATCAACATAACCGTCATCACCCACGCGAAATAGCTGGATCAGGCTTGCGCCCATTGTCCAAGATTCCTCACTGCTGCCTCCAAAAAGAGTCTGGGCCGTTTCTCAATCCCAGTGTGACTGGCCATCCGCTAAGACCAGTTAAAGATCATCGACTTGGTGCGCCTTTACCACACCAACTATCTAATCTTACGCAAGCCCATCAAAAAACGATATACAAATCTTTTAAATATTCACGATTCCCGTGAATTCTTTGGTAGGTTCTTACGCGTTACTCACCCGTACGCCATGTTTATAAAACATTCGACTTGCATGTGTTAAGCTTTTCGCTAGCGTTCATTCTGAGCCAGGATCAAACTCATCTATTCAAACAAATTATGATGTGTATTTACACATACGCAAAAAAAAAGGAGTCTATCCAGCTACAGGTTCCCCTACAGCTACCTTGTTACGACTTCACTACAATCATAGACAATACTGTTAAAATTTCTACACAAAGAAAGGGCACGGATATTTTCATAACTAGTGTGGCCTATACTATGTACAGAAGAGTTTTTTTGAGTACGGCTCACTTTCATAGTGTGACGGGCGGTGTGTACAAGGCTTAGATACAAATTCACCGTAGCATGCTGATCTACGATTACTAGCGATTCCAACTTCATGGTCTCGAGTTGCAGAGACCAATCTGCACTAGGATGATGGTTCAAGAATGGCTCCGTGTGACCACCTTGCATCTCTTTGGCATCATCATTGTAGCACGTGTGTAGCCCAATTCATAAGGGCCATGCGGACTTGACGTCATCCTCCCCTTCCTCCTTTATCTCAAAGGCAGTTAGTTCAATGATTCAAAGCAAAGAACCTGAGGGTTGCGTTCGTTCTAGGACTTAACCCAACAGCTCACGCCACGAACTGACGACAGCCATGCAGCACCTGTAGAAAATAAAACACACTCAGACCGAATGCATTCTTTTCTATGTCAAAAATTGGTAAGGTTTTGCGCGTTGTGTCGAATTAAACCACATGCTCCACCGCTTGTGTAAGCCCCCGTCAATTCCTTTGGGTTTTAACCTTGCGGTCGTAGTCCCCAGGCGGCTGATTTCACGCCTTAGCTCACTCTCTGAAAAAAAGACAAAAAAAAAATCTAGAATCTAAAGCACAGACAAAAAGATAAAACACAAGAAAGTAGAAAACATTTTTACGATAGAGGAGACACTTTAATATACATAAAAAACTCGTGCACATTATCATTAAAAGAAATAATATAAGTTTTCTATGAGTTACCCATAAAACAGAACTAGAAAAGTAATATTTCCGCCCTTACGAAACGAATTCTTCCTATATACAGAATATAGCAAAAGAGAACCTAACATTACAAAAAAACTTTCCCTACTGTAGAGGGGTCGTTGTCAACTTGGTTGATTATATTCATTTCATCATTCTGTTCTCTTCCCGTTTCTCTCCACATCCCTAAACACGTTCCCTACCCTTGATCCTATACGATCTGAATCGTCTATGTTTCCAAGACATTAACTTCTTTAGTGAGTGTGTACAAATTTTCTCATATAAAACATATGTAGTACTGCATTTATACGTACATTAGTATCAGCATGGGTGTTGCACTGTTTTTGGTTTACAGTCGATCAAAATAAATTGAGTGTACAATAACGTATTTCCTCTACAGTAGGGAAAGTTTTTTCTGTCGTCGGATTTTCGTCCAATTTTTATAGAATGTAAAGTAAGGTTGATGTTTTTATCCGTGAGTATAGTACAAACAGACAAGGTTACAGCCCTTGATGAAATACATTGAAACCATTTGAGGGGTGAGGTCCTCCGACACGTCCTTGAGACTAAAAGAACTCTTGTATATCTTTCATAGACCATTTTGAGGATATAAAGAGGTAAAATGGCTCTGAAATGGACGACCACACATGCACTCAGGATATATAGGATGTTCTGTTCCCTGAAACAAAAGATGAAGAAGAACTTTCTCATTTAATCTCTACTTTATATATTATATATTTAAGACATTTCTGCAAGCGTTCGTCGTCTGAGAAGTTAAATATATGAGGTGCTCGATTTTTTGCAGATATGTAAAGGTTCTCATGAACCTTTACATATATATATATACCATAAAAAAACCTTTTCAAAGTTTATTTTGTAAGTTGGTGCGGTGATTTAATGGCAGGAATTTCTTCAAATGTGTGAAACGCTGGTGGTGACGCCACGGTCCATTCTAATGTTGACACAGATTGATCCTGTGAATCAAAGTTCCATGGATTTGGTGCACATCTCTCGTTACTTGTCAGTGTAAGATACACCACATAGAAAAAGAAGAGACTCGCTAAAATAGATAGGTATGACCCATAACTACATACAGCATTCCATCCAGCAAATGCATCTGGGTAATCTGGGATACGACGTGGCATACCAGCTAATCCAAGAAAATGCATTGGGAAGAATGTGAGGTTGACCCCAATAAAAAATAACCAAAAATGAATTTGCCCGTATACTTCTGGATATTGGTACCCGGAAATTTTACCGATCCAGTAATAGAATCCAGCAAATAAAGCAAAGACAGCTCCCATGGATAATACATAATGGAAGTGCGCAACGACATAGTAAGTATCGTGGAGTGCAATATCGATTCCAGCATTTGCGAGCATAACACCAGTTAATCCACCTACTGTAAAGAGGAAGATGAATCCAACAGCAAATAACATTGGTGTTCTGAGGTAGATCGACCCACCCCATGCTGTTGCAATCCAACTGAAAATTTTAATACCTGTTGGTACCGCAATAATCATTGTTGCAGCTGTAAAATAGGCGCGTGTATCGACATCTAATCCAACGGTGAACATGTGATGTGCCCAAACAATAAATCCTAAGACACCAATACTTAACATAGCATAAACCATTCCAAGATATCCAAAAATAGGTTTTCTTGAAAATGTGCTAATGATGTGACTCACAATTCCAAATCCAGGTAAAATTAAAATATAAACTTCCGGATGTCCAAAGAACCAAAAAAGATGTTGATATAAAATGGGATCTCCCCCACCAGCTGGATCAAAGAAAGATGTATTAAAATTTCGATCTGTTAAAAGCATTGTAATAGCACCTGCAAGTACAGGGAGGGATAAGAGAAGTAAGAATGCTGTAATTAAGACTGACCATACAAAGAGTGGGAGTCTGTGCATACTTAATCCTGGACCTCGCATGTTAAAGATGGTTGTGATAAAATTAATGGCTCCAAGAATACTGGATGCACCTGAAAGATGTAAACTGAAAATGGCAAGGTCTACCGCTCCACCTGAGTGACTTGTAATGTGACTTAAAGGTGGGTACACAGTCCATCCCGTTCCTACACCAACTTCAACTAGAGCGCTACTTAAAAGAAGTAAAAGAGAAGGTGGTAATAACCAAAAACTAATATTATTTAATCTTGGGAATGCCATATCCGGAGCTCCAATCATAATAGGTACGAACCAATTCCCATATCCTCCGATGAGTGCTGGCATAACCATGAAAAAAATCATAAGGAATGCGTGTGCAGTGATGAGGACGTTATAGAGTTGGTGGTTTCCTGCAAGAATTTGGTTTCCAGGTTGTGCAAGTTCCATACGAATGAGTACGGAAAAGCATGATCCTAAGACACCAGAGAATGCGCCGAAGATAAGGTAAAGTGTTCCGATATCTTTGTGATTTGTTGAGAAAACCCAACGATTGATAAAGTGCATCATATATATTTTGTGTTTTCAACAGGGTCTTGAGAACACTGCGAGTCCCTTGTATCCAAAGTATTTACAGCAAGAAAAACGGTCAAATATCGAGTTCAGGATGGGTTCGGTTGGTATGTATTTCTTTGTATCTTCTCAAGATATATATGGTATCTTGCCTCTATTCGGCAAGATATATATTTATTTTTTAAGTTGTGTACAAGCTTGATCAAAAAGTTGTGGGATTAACGTCTCTCGATTTTTTTGAAAATACTTTAAAACACTTTGCGTGAAATTGTCTCGAATATTTTGATGCAGTGTATGTTGCAATTGTTTCTCTACCTGAAGAATCTGTTGCACTTTTTGTACACATTTTTTCTGAATACTTGCTTCAAAAGCAGTTAGTCGTGCGTGTTGAGCTCGTTCAAGTTCTTGTACAGCTGCTGTTTTCAATGCCTCAATACTTTCAAGCAATTGAACACTGTGTTGATATGTTTGTTGAAGTTTTTGAACGGCTGTTTCTTTTGCCACGAGCATGTATTCTAATTCTTGAAGAATTAGTGTTCTTCTCTGCGCAAAAGTTTCTTTCACGGTGTCTTGAAATGTGTGAAAACTAAACAGAACAAAACATAAAAAACTCAGAGCAACTAAGATTTCTTCATTATAAATAATAATGTTTTTTGAACTACACACAAAAAATGCCAGTGTGGCTGAGATAATCAAAGTTTTATTTTGTAAAATCATTTAAATTATTTTTTTTGGTTGTGTGGTACACAAAGCTTCTGTACCAAGGCCTGGGAAAAAAAGTGTGCTGTTTTTGTTGCATCCACTTTTGGCATGTTTCCTTGGGTCCCAGGTAACACGTGGTGCATGTGTTGTAGTGTGTATTGCACTGTTTGCTGCAACATGATTTTTTTGCTTTGATATTTTTCAAATGCTTGGTGTGTGTGTGTATTAAACGCATCTGTTTGAATGTCTAAAAGTTGCGTTGTTGTTTGAAACTGCTGGGTATATTTTTTTTTTGTTTCTTGTACACTATCTGAAAACACTTTATGTGTTTTCTGGGCCAGGGCTTCGCACGCATCTGTTGTGAGATCCGTTGGCGTTGTCTGTTGTGCGGCTTCTCTCACGGCAAAAATTCTTGTAAGTTGAGGGAGATATTTTTGTACAAGAGTCAGATAGAATCCTGTAAAAAAGACACAAAACCAGAAAAATTGAGGGAAGAAAGTGACCATATCTAACTGAGGCATAAATAATAGATTTTTTTCTGTGTATGTTTAGGGGAAAGTGGCTGAGCGGTTCAAGGCGACAGACTGTAAATCTGCTGATTAAATTCATCGCAGGTTCGAATCCTGCCTTTCCCAAGCATATATTATCCTTTTAAAAGGTTCATATATTCAATGGAGATGGTTCCACGAGTTCTGTAATACATTACAAGTAAAGCGAGTCCAATGGAAGATTCTGCTGCGGCGACGGTTAAGATGAGGAGGGAAAAGATTTGTCCACTCAGGTCATCTAAGTATGTGGAGAAAATAAGAAAGTTCAGGTTGACAGCAAGGAGCATTAATTCAATACACATTAGCATAACCACAATATTTTTACGATTGAAAAAGATACCCCAAACACCCAGTAAAAAAAGCAATAGAGAACAATGTAAAAAAGAAATACAATGCATAAAACAAACAACGGTTTTTGGTTAGATAACATAATGGTAATGTATGAGATTGCAAATCTTATAATGACGGTTCAATTCCGTCTCTAACCTTATTTGGTGAATATAACTTAATTGGTCAAAGTATCAGACTGTGACTCTGAAAATACGGGTTCAATTCCCGTTATTCGCCCGTAAGATCATTGGTAAACGGACCAAACGCTGCTTTAACAGACGAGGAAGCTTTAGATTTTTCGTAAGATTTCCTAAAATGTTCACTTTGGATGCATCGAATGTACGAAGCTTATGTAATTCAGTCGTGCTTACAAAACGGTCTTGAAAAAAACCGCCTAATAAAATACATTCAAGACCTGTGACTTGGATATCAAAGAACTTTTCTGCTTGTGGATCCACGTTTTCAAATACTGTCTTTAGGGTTTTTAGAGACCCAAGATGTAAAATAAAGGTAGAGCTTTGACAAAAATCTTGCAGAGGTAGTGTCAGGTTTTGTGCTAATCGAAGACTTGCTGTGTTATCGAGAGCTTTTAATCTTTTTTTCAAGGTATTTAATTGGTTGACTGGGAAACTTTTTAGTTGTAAGAAAATGATAACAGGATCTGTTGAAAAAGAGTGCATACGTTTATTGTATTTTCGTCATAAATATTTTTTCTTTAAGTCAAAAATTGTGTCAACAGTAGTTTTTCTTTAAAGAGAAAAAAAAAATAGTATTCTATGACTTCAAGTGTATATACGGGTCAACCTTCATCTTCTGAATATATTATTTCAAAAGTGGACGGGTTAATTAATTGGGCTCGCCAAGGGTCGCTCTGGCCCATGACTTTCGGTTTAGCTTGTTGTGCAGTTGAAATGATGCATACTGGGGCTGCACGCTACGATTTAGACCGTTTTGGTATGATTTTTCGACCAAGTCCAAGGCAATCCGATGTCATGATTGTGGCAGGTACTTTGACAAATAAGATGGCACCGGCTTTAAGAAAAGTATATGATCAAATGCCCGAACCAAGATGGGTTATTTCCATGGGCTCTTGCGCAAATGGTGGTGGTTATTATCATTATTCGTATTCTGTTGTGCGTGGATGTGATCGTATCGTTCCAGTTGACATTTATGTTCCAGGATGTCCACCGACTGCGGAAGCTTTATTATATGGACTTCTCCAGCTGCAGAAAAAAATTTCTCAAAATAAGACAACACTTTTATGGTATAAGAAATAAAGGTGGGTTTTTGAGACAAAAAAAATCTTTTTTATGGTGAATTTACCACTCTTACTTTTTCCGAAATGGGTGCAAAAAGTAATTGCTCAGTCAAATGAAGTCACTCTTGTACTTAAAAGTCCACAAGATCTCCATCCAGTCCTTGAAATTCTCAAGAATCATTCAGCAACCCAATTTAAAATGTTGATTGATATTACAGCCGTAGATTACCCCTCAAGAGAGGCACGTTTTGAAGTTGTTTATCATTTATTGAGTGTCCAACGAAATACCAGACTTCGACTCAAAGTGCAATGTTCTGAACATGCGATCGTGGAATCAGTGACGTCTCTTTATCCCGCTGCAAATTGGTTTGAACGAGAAACCTGGGATATGTTTGGTATTTGTTTTACAAATCATCCAGACCTTAGACGCATTTTAACAGATTATGGGTTTGAAGGACATCCTTTAAGAAAAGATTTTCCTTTAACTGGATACGTCGAATTTAAATACGACGACACAAAAAAAAGAGTTGTTGCTGAGCCAGTCGAACTTGCCCAACAATTTAGACAATTTGAATTTAGAAGCCCTTGGGAAGTCATTCCACAACAATATTAAAAAGGAGCTTTATCGTATTTAACCTCTTTCTTTGGTTGTACCAAAAAAAATATAAGATTTATGAGTCTTTCAGCAACGGAATTATCAAATTTACTTGAGCAACGTATTTCAAATTACTACTCAGATTTAAACATCGATGAAATTGGAAGAGTTCTTTCAGTTGGGGATGGTATTGCCCGTGTATATGGTTTAAACAAAATTCAATCGGGGGAAATGGTTGAGTTTGATAGTGGGATTAAAGGGATGGCCCTGAATCTAGAAAACGACAATGTTGGAATCGTTTGTTTTGGAAGCGATACAAATATTCGCGAAGGAGACATTGTAAAAAGAACAGGTTCCATCGTAGACGTGCCTGTTGGAAAAGGGATGCTCGGGCGTGTTGTTGATGGTCTTGGAAACCCAATTGATGGTAAAGGACCAATTCCAAATGTAACACCACGTCGTGTTGAATTAAAAGCGCCTGGAATTATTGCAAGAAAATCTGTGCACGAACCAATGCAAACTGGATTAAAAGCAGTCGATAGCTTAGTGCCTATTGGTCGCGGCCAACGTGAACTTATTATTGAAGATCGTCAAACTGGGAAAACGGCAATTGCTATTGACACAATTATTAATCAAAGAACAATTAATGATTCAAATGATGAGTCAAAAAAATTGTATTGTGTTTATGTCGCGGTTGGTCAGAAAAGATCAACAGTTGCACAATTAGTGAAGACCCTTCAAGATAAGAATGCTCTAGAGTATTCAATTATTGTTGCAGCAACGGCTTCGGATCCAGCACCTTTACAATTTCTTGCACCGTATTCAGGATGTGCTATGGCTGAATATTTCCGTGACAACGGCATGCATGCTTTAATCATTTATGATGATTTAAGTAAACAGTCAGTCGCGTACCGCCAAATGTCTCTTCTTTTACGAAGACCACCCGGTCGTGAAGCTTTTCCTGGGGATGTTTTTTATTTACACTCGCGTCTTCTCGAAAGATCCGCAAAAATGTCTGATGAAGTTGGTGGTGGGTCAATGACAGCGTTACCAGTTGTTGAAACACAAGGTGGAGATGTATCTGCTTATATTCCGACAAACGTTATTTCAATTACTGACGGGCAAATTTTCTTAGAGACAGAACTTTTCTTCAAAGGGATTCGTCCAGCAATTAACGTTGGTTTATCTGTAAGTCGAGTTGGTTCTGCTGCGCAGTTAAAAGCCATGAAACAAGTTTCAGGTTCATTAAAGCTCGAATTAGCCCAATATCGTGAAGTTGCAGCGTTTGCTCAATTTGGATCAGATCTTGATGCAGCAACTCAATATTTATTAAATCGTGGGTCAAGATTAACAGAAGTTTTGAAACAAGGACAATTCGTTCCGATGCCTGTCGAGCAGCAAGTTGTTGTTATCTATGCAGCAACAAAAGGATATTTAGACTCATTAAAAATGACTGATATCTCAAGCTATGAAGACGGTTTATTAAAATCTGTTGATGGGTCACTCCTCCAAACAATTAAGTCTGAGGGTGTGCTTTCTGAAAATACTTTAGCAAAATTAAAAGAGTTCTGTGATACATATACACAGCAATTTAAAGCTGCGTAAACACAGCACGTGCGTGTCTATTCTTGGGAGATTCTAAAATCTCCCAAGAACTTTTTATTCCCATTCTAAAGCACCTTTACGCCATTCATACACAAACCCAACGGTTAGGATAATTAAAAAAACCATCATAGTCCAAAATCCAAATAGATCAATATGTCGAAGAGAAATTGCCCACGGAAATAAAAATGTCACTTCAAGATCAAAAATAATAAATAAGATAGCAACAAGATAAAATCGAATGTCAAATCTTGCGCGTGCGTCTTCAAAAGGATCAAAACCACATTCATATGCTGAGGTTTTCTCTGGATCTGCTTTTTGAGTTGCAACCAAAAAGGATAAGCTTAAAATCACCCCAGAAAGCAGCGCACTTACACAAATGTAAAGCAAAATCGGTAAGTATTCAATCATAGATATTTTTTTTTATTGGGTGTTTAGCTCAGTTGGTAGAGCATTTCGTTTACACCGAAAATGTCAGCGGTTCGACTCCGTTAACACCTACACGGGAAAATAGCTTAACTGGTAGAGTCCCGGCCTGTCACGCCGGTTGGTGCGGGTTCAACTCCCGTTTTTCCCGTTTCTATCGATCCACCTCACCAAAGACAATATCTTGCGTTCCAATAATTGTAACCACATCCGCAAGTAAATGATGCTTCGACATAAAATCTAAAGCTTGGAGATGCACAAACCCAGGTGCACGAATTTTACAACGATACGGTTTGTTGGTCCCATTACTCACAAGATATACACCAAATTCACCTTTTGGTGCTTCCACACCAACATATGTCTCAGAAGCTGGGACGATAAACCCCTCGGTAAAAAGTTTAAAATGGTGAATTAAAGATTCCATTGATTCCTTCATATGTTTTCTCGAAGGTGGCGAGATTTTTTTATCATCAACCTTCACGAGCCCTTGTGGGAGTTTATTTAAACATTGAGCAATAAGTCGGAGACTTTGGCGCATTTCTTCAATACGAATTAAATAACGGTCATAACAATCTCCTTGAGATCCTACCGGAATATCAAATTCTAATGACTCATAAACTTCGTATGGTTGTGTTTTTCTTAAATCCCAAGCAACACCAGATCCTCGAAGCATAACTCCTGAAAATCCATATGAAATAGCATCTTTTGCTGACACAGTTCCAATGTCAACTAAACGTTGTTTCCAAATTCGATTCTGTGTGAGCATTTCCTCCATTTCATCGATTCTTGAAGCAAATGTTTGACAAAAAGTATGCATATCGTCACAGAGACCTTGTGGTAAATCTTGCGCAACACCCCCTGGCCGAATATACGACGCGTGTAAGCGTGCACCAGAAACTCTTTCATAGAATTCCATTAATTTTTCTCTTTCCTCGAATGCCCATAAAAATGGTGTGAGTGCGCCCACATCCATGGCATGGCAACTTAAAGCTAAAAGATGATTTAAAAGACGCGTAATTTCAGAAAAGAGTACACGAATATATTGTGCACGGAGTGGCACTGGGCAGTGGAGAAGGTTTTCCACGGCTAACGAATAAGCGTGTTCTTGAGCCATCATAGATACATAATCTAAGCGGTCAAAGTATGGTAATGCTTGAATATAATTTTTGTATTCGATTAATTTTTCTGTGCCTCGGTGGAGCAACCCAATGTGCGGATCTGCTCGTTCAACAACCTCACCGTTCATTTCCAGGACAAGTCTGAGAACGCCGTGCGCCGCAGGATGTTGTGGTCCAAAATTCAGGGTAAAGTTTTTGAGTTTTTTTTGTTCAAAGACCATAAAAATTCAGTTTTTAAGGAGAAATGGCTGAGTGGCTGAAGGCTTTGGTTTGCTAAATCAACGTACAATTTTTTTGTATCATGGGTTCGAATCCCATTTTCTCCGGTGTCTATGCTTTTGTGGGGACGTACTTCAATTGGCAGAATGTATGCTTTGCACGCATAAAGTTACCGGTTCAAATCCGGTCGTCTCCACTGCCTTCGTAGCTCAGTTGGCAGAGCATTCCTATGGTAAGGGAAAGGTCCCCGGTTCAATTCCGGCCGTAGGCTGCAAAAACATTATTCTTATGCATATTACATTGGTTCTTAGATCTTATGACCGCTCGTCTTTAACAAAAGCAGTGAAACTTCTTTGCTTTCTTGGACATAGTCTGCAAACCAAAACATGCCAGACTTGGGCGCTATCGCTGCATCCACTCCCAACGAAAGTCAAAAAATACACCTTGTTAAGATCCCCACACATTGATAAAAAGTCAAGAGAACAAATTGAACTTAAAACATACCAAAAAGCGATCCACATCAAAAATATCCAAGATAAAAAAACATTTCTTGGCTTCTTACATTTGGTGAAACTTGTGCATCTGGATGGTGTCCAATGTAAGTGTACGTTTGAAGCTCACACGTCTCTGTAACCTGCAAAAGGTGGGACTTGAACCCACACAAACAAAGTTCATTACCACCTCAAGGTAACGCGGCTACCAATTACGCCACTTTTGCAAAAAAAATTCTGTAATGTATGACACGATCCCTTTTTAAAGGACCTTTTGTAGATGGGACACTCTTATCTTCAAAAAAAAAGTTTGTTTGGTCCCGCCAGTCGTCTATTTTACCTCAATTTGTAAACAAAACGTTTATGGTACACAACGGAAAATCATTTGTAGAGATTACAATCCAAGAATCTATGATTGGACATAAATTTGGGGAATTTGCATTGACGCGAAAAAAATTAATCCACAAGAAAAAAGACAAAAAGAAATAAATTATGGGACAGAAAATTTCTCCAGTTGCGTTGAGATTACAGACCAACAAAAGTTTTCAAGCTTCCTGGTATAGTCAGAAGTTGTACGCTGAAGGCGTGCACAAACAACTCCAAGTGCAGAATTTTCTCCACGACGTATTTCACCAAGTTGGCACGAAAGCAACCAAAACACATGTTGTTCAGACACCCGGTGCTTTAAAGATCCACACATTTTTTTGTTCACCTCGATTGTTTGATCAAAAACTGGCAAAAAAAACAATGTCACTCAAACCGACACATTTTTTTCAACACCAGAGAACAACTCAATGGCAATTTCTTTCAAACCAAATGCACTGGGAAACACTCAAGAAAAAACTAGTGTTTCAATCTCTCTTACGTAACAATTTACAAAAGTCAACAACTTTGCATCTGACAAATTTATTTGAACAGACAAGGCACAAAACAAATGCACTAAAATTTTATGCGAATCATCTGGAAGCGGTCTCACAACAATATTTTAAAACAGCCACACAGTGGGAACCTGTTAAACTTCAAGAATTTACAAAAAGTGCACAATTTGTAGCTGAGTATGTGTCGCATGCTTTAGAACGACAAAAACCTGTGAAGCAAATTTTCTCTAGTGTGCAAACACTGCTGAAAAAAGATCCAAATGTAGAAGGTTTTAAAATCTCCTGTTCGGGTCGATTACAGGGTGTTGAAATGGCAAAAATTGAAACATTTAAATTTGGAAAAATCTCCTTACACGTTTTTACTTCTAAAGTTGACTATGCAGAAGCGAGAGCTCTCACAACTTTTGGTATTTTAGGTGTCAAAGTCTGGATTTGTTATAAAGATTAAAAAAAAAAGCTTCTATGCTCCAACCAAAAAAAACAAAATTTAGGAAATTTCAAAAACGACGTGTCACTGGTGTTAAACTCCAACAGCTCAATTTTGGAATGTATGGAATTCAATCTTTAAGTTGTGGCAGAATTTCTTCTGCATGTATTGAAGCCGCAAGACGTGCAATGACACGAAAACTTAAAAGAACTGGACAAATTTGGATTCGAATTTTTCCAGATTTAGGTGTGAGTCAAAAACCAGCTGAAGTCAGAATGGGAAAAGGTAAAGGCGCCATTCAGCAATGGGTATGTCCTGTTCAAAAAGGACAAATCTTATTTGAAGTCAACGGTGTCCCTGAATCTTTAGCTGTTCAAGCTGTGCAGCTTGCACAACACAAACTTCCTTTAAAAACGCAGTTTATCAAAACTATTTAAAAAATAATGTCTTATGATCCAAGTTGGGACACAGCTGCATGTTGCAGACAATTCTGGAGCAAAAAAAGTTGAATGTATTAAAGTTTTAAATAAAACAAAACAAAGGGTTGGAGGTGCCGGAGAATTTGTGCTAGTGAGTGTAAAAGAAATCAACCAAAAACAAACACAAAAAGTGAAAAAAGGGCAAATCTTTAAAGCTGTCATCTTAGAAACAAAATTTCCTATTCAACGAAAAGATGGAAGTTCCTTAAAATTTCAACGAAATACAGTGATTCTCGTCTCCCCACAACTGTCACCAGTAGGGACACGTATTCAAAGTTTTGTTCCCTATGAGTTACGACACAAAAATTTATCAAAAATTCTCGCCCTTGCATCTGCAAGTATTTAGTTAAAAAGAAACGTATTCAATGCACTCTATGTATTTTTATCATCAACTGATTACAAGAGATTTCATTTTAAAAACTCCAGTCAAAACAATTTATGATTGCCCAAAAATCACAAAGGGGACGGTCAGCTTATCTCACAAATTTATTAGTGCAGAGAAACTTGTTGTCTTACCTTATTTTGTAGCACTTCTTCTTTGGACTGGACAACGCCCAACACTTATTCGAGCAAAAAAATCTGTTGCAACATTTGGTCTGAAAAAAAGTGCTCCATTTGGTTGTTTCGTGACTTTACGAAAAGATTCGTTGGCACACTTTGTGGACAAACTTTGTCTTGCTGTCTTCCCAAGACTGCAACAAAATACGCCAGAGAGTTTCCTCTCGTTCAACAAAAATACAGTTAATTTTGGACTAGATGCATTTTTGAAATGTACCGAAATTCAACCAAATACAGATATGTTTGACTTTTTAGAGGGGTGTTCGTGTAGTTTTGTCACATCGGCATCGACGGTGCATCACACGCAATTGTATTGCAGTGGATTGCATTTTCCAGTCTTAAAAAAAAAGAAAATTAATGGCAAACTTTGAACAAAAAGATCAACAGAAGAGACAGAGTGTGCACAGGTTTGAAGTGCAGCGTCAGCTACTCAAAGCTCTCATTAAAAACCATACACTTCCTGCGTCGCTAAGATATGAATATATGTTAAAACTTAACTCTTTGGCAAAAAAAACAAGCCGTGTGCAAGTAGTGAATCGATGTGTTCTCTCGGGACGAAGTCGTGGTGTTTTAAAACAATTTCGACTCTCGAGAATTTGGGTGCGTCAACTTCTTGCCAAAGGACAGCTGCAAGGAACAAAAAAATCAAGTTGGTAAAAAAAATATATGAAATGAAACTTTTGACCCAAATGTTTACAAGTTTACGAAACGGGCAAATGTCGAGGAAACAAATTGTGCACATGCCGTATTCAAAATTTTGTTGGAATGTATTAACTGTTTTATTGTTTCATGGATATATTCAGGGAATGCAAAAAAGAGATACCAAGATTTTTGTTGTCTTAAAATATATCAAAGAGCAACCAGCCATTAAGAAACTTGAACAAATTTCTTCAGCAAGTCAACGCGTGTATACTCCATACACTCAATTAAAATCTCCACAACAAGGACTTGGTTTATTACTTGTATCAACGTCCAAAGGTATTATGTCAAGTGCACAAGCTCTTGAACTCAAAGTTGGGGGTGAGGTTTTATGCAAAATTTTCTGAGTTAATAAAAGAATATCTCACGTATGAAATCTATTTCGATTACGAAACAATCTGTTGTCGTGCCGTCAACAATTACTGTACATGTGGCGGACTCAACTTTACGTTTTGAGGGTCCACTCGGCAAAATTTCCGTAAATTTGGCACATCATGATCAATTCGGGGAGTGTTTTTTCTCTCTGAAGCTTTTAGAAGGTGGGCAACACCTTTTATCCTTTAGTACGACACAAAGGAAAGGGAAAACTTTTTTAAATGCTTTTAAAGCATCTCTTTTACAATATTTTACTGGACTGACACAAGGATTTCTTGTCAGTTTGGAATGTGTTGGGATTGGATATAAAGTCCACTATGAGAAAAATGTACTTCACATGAAGTTAGGTTTTAGTCATTTGACTACATTTCAGGTGCCACAGGATGTACAAGTTTTTTCACCAAAGCCGAACATTATTTGTTTTTTTGGTGTGGACAAAAAAAGGTTACATAAGGTTGCTGCTGATGTGCAATCATTAAAATTTCCTGATGCATACAAAGGGAAAGGACTGAGATTTACTCATATCCCGGTTTCTCTCAAGGAAGGAAAGAAAAAATAATTAGCGTATGGTTTTTCTATTTCAAAAAAAATTAACGCCAACGAATACTATTCGTAAAGAACTTAAAAAGATCTATGGAATTAATTCTTTTTTAGCAAACCAAATCTGTGACCAGTTAGGCTTGCATACCACTGTAACTGTGGGTGCGTTATCTCTGGATCAAACAGAAAAACTTGGTCGAATTCTTCAATATTATTATTTAACCGAACACGACTTAAAGAAACAAGTGCAGGGAAATTTTCAACGTTTCATTCAGATTGGGTGTTATCGAGGATTTCGTGTCACACAACGTTTACCACTTCGAGGGCAAAGAACGCATACAAATGCGAAAACCGCTAAACGAATTTTAAGAGCGTAAAAAATTAATGCTTTATGGTCAAAAAAAAACCGATGAATCAAACGGCTATCTTATGTATTTCCACAACTTTGAATAATACATTTGTAAACTTGACAGATCTCGAAGGCAATACGCTTTGTTGTGTGTCGAGTGGGAGTCTAGGATTTAAGGGCTCGAAAAAGTCTTCAAGTTATGCTGCACAAAGTACGACTGAAAAGGTACTTCAATTTTGTGCTCAACAGTCCATTGAGAAACTTATGATTAAATTACGCGGTGTTGGGTATGCGAAGGACGCCTCGTTAAAAACAGTCTTGAATCAAAATTTTAAGATTGTACACATTCAGGAAACAACCCAACGTGCATTTAATGGCTGTCGACAAAAGAAGAAACGTCGTATTTAAGTCACCCTAAAAAATATATGTTGTTTAGTACTTAAACAAATTTTTTTTGAATATTTGTAGGTTGGTAAAAAAATGAACTCTATGGCTGAAGGTGCAAAACTTATTGGAGCTGGGTGTGCAACTATCGCATTAGCTGGAGCTGGGGCTGGTATTGGAATTGTTTTTGGTTCTTTTATTAGTTCAGTTGCTCGTAACCCGTCATTAACAAAAACTCTTTTTGGTTATGCTATTTTAGGATTCGCTTTAACAGAAGCGATTGCTTTATTTGCATTAATGATGGCTTTCTTAATTCTTTTCGTATTTTAATTTACTGGAAAAAGCAGTTCCTTTGGGAACTGCTTTTCCTTCGGACAAACACGAAAAAAGACACGCGGATATGTTGGAATTGGTAGACAAATCAGATTTAGGTTCTGATGAATTTTTTTCGTGGGGGTTCAAGTCCCTCTATCCGTACGGGTATGTAGCTCAACTGGCAGAGCAATAGGCTTTTAACTTATTGGTTGTAGGTTCAAGTCCTACCATACCTACAAAATATTGCGGGGTTGAGTAATTGGTAACTTATTAGGCTCATAACCTAAATATTGTAGGTTCAAGTCCTACCTCCGCACCGGGGACAGATGTCTGAGTGGTTGAAGGTTTCAGTCTTGAAAACTGATGTATTGTAATACCGTGGGTTCGAATCCCACTCTGTCCGAAAAACACTTATTTCTATGACTCTTTTTCAAAAAATCTCTAAAGAAATGTGGAGCCGCTTTTTTTATTGTTGTGTTGGCTTGCTCGGTTGTCTTGGAACAAACCTTTGGTACATCTCTACATGGACAACGCTCCTGTTTTTACCAATTACACAACTCGATCAAAATGCCCAATTCATTTTTACCGAGATTCAAGAAGCATTCGGAGCCACCGTCTTTTTAGCGCTTTTCATCAGTGTACAAATGAGTCTACCACTTTTCTTGTATCAGACTTTAAGCTTCATTAATCCAGCTTATTTTAAACATGAAAGCGTTCAAAATGTCCGCGTCGCACTCGTCTTTGTAACTATGCATTGCCTGTTCTATGTGTATTTTTTAACTTCTTGGATGCATTCTTTACTCACTTTCTTTTTGCAATTCCAATTTGAAAATGTACAGTATTCTCTTCTGACATTTCAGGCGAAAATTCTTACATATTTTCAATTTATCTTTCAGTGTTGTTTTAGCTTCCAATTCTTGTTGCTTGGAGCTTTTCTGAGCTTTTTAGTGTTTCCAAAGCTTTTACAGAATATTTGGTTTCAATACAAACATCTGATCGTGTTTGTGACAGCTCTTGTGCTTTCTTTTATTTTGCCCCCAGATGGATTGCTTCAATGTGTCGTGACAGTGCAACTCCTGTGTGTTATTGATATCTTCGGATTCTTTTTATGTCTCTACACTACCTATCAAGAAAAACTCCAAGCAAAAGTGTTTTCTTGATAGAAACCTATTATATATTAGCGAAGAGCTTTCAGCACTAACTCAGGTTCAATTCGAGTTGGGTAATGTACTTGTTGAGGTGAAAATAAAAAAATTGCCTCTAAGGTTTTGTAATTTACCTCAAAATGTAATGGTTTATATGCGAGCACTTTTTTTGAGTCGTGGAGAGCACAGGCAGTTTGCACATTTGATGCAACACGTGTTTGAATCTCAGGGATAAAGCTAACTGAATCTCCAGGTTTTAATAAAACCCCAGGTGCTGTGATGATGTTTCCATTGATGCATACTTTTTTATGGTTGATTAATTGTCTAGCTGCTAAAAAAGTTGGTGCGAATTTCAATTGCACTAAACAACTATCAAGTCTTTTTTCAAGCAGACTGAAAAAGATATGCGCAAGCTTTCCTCTATATTTTTGGCTTTGTTGTAGAAGGTGTTTAAAATGTTGTAATTTAAGCTGTCCATAGAGTGCAGAGACAAGTTGTTTGGCTCTGAGTTGTAATGCAAAATTTGACAGTTTTTTTGTGTTTACTTTTTTATTTGCAAGGGAGACGGCTTTTTCTTGTTTAATTGTAAATGTGCGGGTTTTCCAAAGAAATGCACCAAATTTTCGGCATGGTTTGCCTTTTAATTGTTTCTGGATTTTCAT